CAAGTATCTTTTCTAGTTAAATTTATCCAAGGGATGGGTGTCTGTATTACGACTATGTGGCCTTAAAAAAAGTAATAGAAAATAATGAGAAGCAGCAAGTTTTGTAAAATTCAACAAACAATTTATTTCTCAAGATCCCTATAATATAAAGTGACAAAGTAAAAAAACACTTGCGATATTGCTAGTTAAATCCCAAATAATCCTAGAATTACTAAGAGAAGTCCTAATGAATAAAGTTCTGGCTAAATTTTGACGGTATTCTAAAAAATTTCCAACGCTGAAGGTGTTGATGTGCCAGTAGTGGCCGGTAGTCTCTAATGTACTAATATACCAATGGCCTGAATAGTAATAATGTGTCAACAGCCTTCTTTTGAATCACAGTAATATAATCCAAGGTTTCCTTGTTTGAATTCACTGTAATTCCCAGTTAATGTCTCTTTCCGAAAATATTATAGAGCACTTTATATTTCCAGAGAATAATAAATACTTTCTTCCAAATCACACACACAACAAAATCTTTGGTTCTGAGTGGCCGAGTGGTCTAAAGCGCTCTTCGTTACGGATCACTGCCATCTCACCTCTGTCTACGTGGGTTCCAGTCTAAGATTCGGCGAATGTGGATATGTGAGAAAGCTTGCCAGTAGATTTTCGTGGGTCGGTGGTTGTTTCCGCGGATTTCCCGGTTTCTTCCTCTACCATTAATACTGGCCGCCATGTATAGCTATCGTGTCCTGAAAAATGGCGTTAAGCCCCACAACAACCAACCAACCAACCAAATCAAAATCTTAATACAACAATATAATGAGTTCTGTCAAGATGTTATCGCAGAAATGAATAGTTTCTAGATAAACACGATTTTATAAATAAAAAAACAAATTAAGATACAAAAGAAGAGCCAAGATGTAGGACAAAGGTTTAGAAAATAATCCAAACTAGAATTAAACAAAGTCTGTTACTAAAATTATACTAGAAAACATGGTAAACTCAATATTCTTCACTCAAGCCTAAATAATGATCCTAATAGTTAGTTTATTTTTCTTTGTGAGTATAGGCTATGTATTAGTTGCTTACAGAATAAAAATAAAAATCAACGATTCTGGAGAGGTAGACAACGAACTTAATTTTGGACAAGGCCAGCTACAAAATACAATTATACATAACTTATAGCATACACTGAATAAAAAACAAAACAAAACAAAAAATGTATAAGTAAGTATACACAACAGCTCCTCTAATAAAGAAAAATATTTATGCAATAAAGCATTCGTTTAACTATTTGTCAAATGTACATGTAATGAGAATTTACACAAGACAAAATCTTATGAATGACAGAGTATACATGAAATAATATAACATTTGTATACACATGAAAGTGCATCTGCAATTAGATCACCTTTACATTTATGTTCCCGATGCCAAAAGTGTATGCCTGCAACATCAAACTCCATCTTAATAATCCGATTTTTGTTGTTCATCTTCCCAGTGCAAATAAGGTACTTGCGATCACTGAATATCACTCGAAGAAGGAACTGAATTTATATATACTTTTAAAACGTTTTAAAGCCAGCAGCAAGTCAAACATGCATTATCGACTGTGTAATAATTTCTCTAGTGCTTATTTAATTTTAGACACATGGTACACTGATTGATCCACGCCTTTTTATTACTTTTTCCACCAACCCCAACATCATCTGCATCAACAAACAGTTTAAATGATTGACTAAAATTTGGAACTGAAAGAACTGGTGCACTCAAAAGCCTCCTGACATTTTTCTGACCAATACAACTTTGTTTTTCTTACTGAATAAATTGGTCAGGGATTAGAAATTTTGAAAAAAAACTTAGCAAAATTTCCGATATTATCCAGCCACATAACCAAAAATCGTATCGGTTTATACTTACTGATAGATATAGGGAATGCCTAAATAGCATTGACTTTAGAGTCTATAGGTCCCACTGTATTTTCTAGAAATGTAACACAAGCTCGTCAAAGCCCACTTTGGGATAAATTGTCAAATTTGCACCAGTGAGTTTATAAAAAATATTTAAAACAACTCCAGGTGATCTTTCCAGGTGTCATTGTAGATGATGACATTATCGATATAAGCACAAAAATTATCTAGACCAGATGCAGTCATGTTAATTAAACATTGAAAAGTGCAAGGTGACCATTCCATCCAAAATAGCATCACTTTATATTGACAACATTTCCTTTGCCCTTTCAGTCAGTGGAATTTGCCGGAATCCTTTCAAAAGGTCAAATTTGGTGACGTAGTTTGCATTTTCACTTCTGTCAATTCAGGCATCGAGTATTGGTAAATGATATGAATCTGCTTTAGGCACAATATTCACTTTTCTATAGTCGGTACACATGTGGAATATATTTTCTGGTTTCAATACAAAATTGCATGGTAAACTACAGTCACTTTTACTCGGTTCTATGAAAACATTCTCAAGCAATTACTAATGTTTTTTCTTTTTTTCCAACATTCCTGTTTGAGAGGGTTTATCCTGTACAGATGCTGTTTCACAGGTGTGGAATACACAAATTTCGATGTCATGTAGATTTTACTTGTTCGTGTTGAAACATCTATAAACAAGTGCATATAGTCAAGTAATAGCTGGTTTAGTTCATCCATTACTTATTGCTGCAGATGTGAATTAACACATTTACCATTATTCTTCACACAGGTCCAGAGACGTATAGAGAGAGAGAGAGAGGTCCAGAGAGAGGTCCAGAGACGTAGAGAGAGAGAGAGAGAGAGAGAGAGAGAGAGAGAGAGAGAGAGAGAGAGAGAGAGAGAGAGAGAGAGAGAGAGAGAGAGAGAGAGAGAGAGAGAGAGAGAGAGAGAGAGAGAGAGAGAGAGAGAGAGAGAGAGAGAGAGAGAGAGAGAGAGAGAGAGAGAGAGAGAGAGAGAGAGAGAGAGAGAGAGAGAGAGAGAGAGAGAGAGAGAGAGAGAGAGAGAGAGAGAGAGAGAGAGAGAGAGAGAGAGAGAGAGAGAGAGAGAGAGAGAGAGAGAGAGAGAGAGTTCCTTTTTGGCTCAATCTTTTTCCGCCCTACATGAGAATACTTGGATCATGTGTGCCCTTTTTGTCAACCTTGGGCAATGATGATTAGTTGTCCTGGATATTAATAAACAACCATGATCCAGATCAATACCCGATTGCCCTTTTCTGGGTCACTCACTCAGCGTTCTAAAAAGAGACATACTGCTCAAAATTATTGCCAATATATACATGTTTGCATGTTTCTCTATGGATGCTGGATAGCATATAATGTGGGTTGAACAGCAATCAAAAGTAGGTGTTGGATAGTATATCAATAGGTATGTGCTGGATTGTAATAAAAAGTATGTGTTGGGTAGCAATCGAAGTGTGTTTCAGACAGTGCTTGAAACAGTAGGTAATGGATAGTATCTGAAACTTGTAACATTACCATTCTTATATTAAACATGATAACGAACAAAATATTCCTAGTGCCTCTTCCACCTGTTAAACCTATGGACATTTTAGACATTACCATTTCGTACTGCTCTAGAAATAGCTGAACATGAAAACTTAATAAAGCTAAAACATTTAACATGACTATTCCTGTGTCAGAGGGTGTCTCCTATATGTTATATCTATGGAAATTTAACAGTACCATTCCTGCAGTGCCCTAACGTTGCTCCGGGTAAACCGACGGCGTCATGTTAATTCCATTAGTGTGACTCATATTTATACTGGGACCCCTTTATGTATTACACTATGGAGGGGACTGACACTGCAACTACCGAAAATATAAATCATAACACCATTATTTCTGTCCTTTTATTATTTTCAGGTGATGTGTATTGAAACCACCACCAATACTCTTTAGAAACTATAAAAAAAACAAATCTGGTAACAAAATATTTTCTTACATGTTCGAGTTAGCATGTTCACGGGTGTTGAGAGCGGGGACAAGTTGTCGAACTAGCATCATTCAGTGTATATTTCAGATATATCTACAAGCTGGGTTTGACCCCAAAATATCCAATCATACATTGTGTTGTCATGTTCACATGTCAGTTAGCTCCAAAAAAATCCGAGACAAGATGTTTCAACTCGAAATTAAATGAATGTGGACAACAAGGTGTATATTAAAAGCGTTTTTATAAGGTCTGGTCGAAGTTAATTTTTTAAAAATAAATATAAGCATCTTTCTGTCTCCCAAAATGATTATATATGTCCATCGACAGCTATCAATAAGAACAAAAACTTGCTATTGCCATAATTACGAACCTACTGATTGTACACTACATCAGGGGTTTTCAAACTGTGGTCCACGTACCCCTTGGGGTCCGTCGCATGTTGCCAAGGAGTCCGCAAACAGGTCCCAAAAAAGAATAAAAATAGTATATTCGCAAAGTTTTCATTATCATCAACAATTATAAAAACAACCGAGTACTGAGCTGTCTATTCTGTATTGAATTAGAATTATATGGTTATTACTTTCTGATGTCTTACATGGATTACATAACATAATAATAATGTCGATCGGCCAAATTTATTGGATAGGCTGATAGGAATCCGTCATCTGTGGTCAACAGCTTCAAAACGTTTGAAAACCACTGCGCTACTGTACACGGTCTACTACTGGCCAAGTTCATAATAGAGCGTGTCTGGTTATCCTATAACTGTTACATGGCAATCTGAGAGACATAAAATATTTACGTCGGCGTGACTGCCAGTTCCTGGTCGAATGACATTTATGGGGACATATATTGTTCATCATCTTTATAGATGATTTGATGCTAAACTCTAGGAAGACCACCTCCACACACAAACACCATTTGTACAAGTATGCACGTGATATCTTTCCTACGCTGATATAAACTTTGACAATCTGAAACAAAGTTTGTTGTAAGTGATGGACAAAGAAATGAAGATTTTAACACATAACTGGCTATTTCATGCCAAAGAAATGTAAGCTAAGCGGATTTGCTTTCCCTTGGACGCAAAAAAGCAGCGATCCGGGCTGATCAAGGCGGGTATCGAACCTGCGAGATATGGATTAAGAGACCAAAGTTTTACAATCTAAACTACTGCAAATCCGAAACAGTTACTGGAATCAGAATTCGATGCAGTAATTCTGTAGTTATAAGAAAATCTGGTGAAAGCGAACCCAGACGAATTTCAGAACCATACAATTTGCAATCAATGTACTGAAAGCATTTTGGCCATCGAAGAGTAGCTGGACGTGGATGGTTGCTTTTTTACGGCGTGTTATGTGCACAATATTAATTTCAACTTCAAAATAATGTTTGGGCATTAATTAGCCAACGTTTTGAAATACAAATTAAAACCTGCTGTTTGTTACATAATGTACTAAAATGAAACTACACTGAAACAAAACAAACTAAACAGATGACTTTAACGATGTAGTAGACCTGGTCTTTGCAGATGACCTGGATCTCCTGTCCCACAAACACCTGTACATTCAGTTCAAGACCTTTTTTTTCTGGGAAAAGAAACATACAAGACTGGACTATGCATATAGCTGGGAAAAGAAATATGTGGAAATAAAAAATAAACAACACAGCTAGACTGAGCAGACCTCGAGGAAACTGAACAGCTCATACGAGTTAGAGGGTTACCATGGTTGATGCAGTTACACATGTTAGAGGATTACCATGGTTAATGCCAGTAGAGCTGTTAGAGGATTACCATGGTTAATGCTGGTACAAATGAAAGAGGATTACCATGGCTAATGCTGGTACAAATAAAAGGATTACCATGGCTAATGCTGGTACAAATGTTAGAAGATTGCTATGGCTAATGCTGATACAGATGTTAGGGGATTACCAGGTCTAATGCTGGTACAAATGAAAGAGGATTACCATGGCTAATGCTGGTACAAATGAAAGAGGATTACCATGGCTAATGCTGGTACAAATGTTAGAAGATTGCCATGGCTAATGCTGGTACAGATGTTAGGGGATTACCAGGTCTAATGCTGGTACAAATGAAAGAGGATTACCATGGCTAATGCTGGTACAAATGAAAGAGTATTACCATGGCTAATGCTGGTACAAATAAAAGGATTACCATGGCTAATGCTGGTACAAATGAAAGAGCATTACCATGGCTAATGCTGGTACAGATGTTAGGGGATTACCAGGTCTAATGCTGGTACAAATGAAAGAGCATTACCATGGCTAATGCTGGTACAAATGAAAGAAAATTACCATGGCTAATGCTGGAACAAATAAAAGGATTACCATGGCTAATGCTGGTACAAATGAAAGAGCATTACCATGGCTAATGCTGGTACAAATGTTAGAAGATTGCCATGGCTAATGCTGGTACAGATGTTAGGGGATTACCAGGTCTAATGCTGGTACAAATGAATGAGGATTACCATGGCCAATGTTGGTACATGTATTAGAGGATTACCATAGCTAATACATTACAGCAATATACTAATACCTCAACTGTTCATATCGACCCCAATACAAACAAGTACCAGAATCAATGGAGTGATTAATCTGTCATGAACTGACCCTCACTTTTGACATTAGGACTCAAAATTGATCTCAAAACTCACTCCCAATACTTTTAGAAATATGTCAGTGCTCAAAATGGGAAAAGGAGAGTGGCTGGAAATTTTCTCATACTGTAATAGATATCATTGATAGTCTGGCAATATATATATATATATATATATATATATATATATATATATATATATATATATATATATATATATATATATATATATATATATATATATATTAATTAGACTGCCACATCTTATTATAAAGTCTGTGGAAAAGCACATTTTTTAGTAAATTGTGTTTCTCTATGAATCCTTTTACCGAATCACATTATGTTATGAATAACAGCGTGCTATCTGGCGAATCTAGTTCTTTTGCAAATTAAAATTTTTGTTTGTCTACTCCTGTAGCAAAAAGGGCAATAACCTTTGCCAATTACCTCACCTTGCCATCATCCGGTCTCACTAGGTTTTAGCTGAGCAATATACTAAAGGAGAATGCTCACATTGCAGGGTGCTTAGGGTTTTTTTTTTAGCAATGTGAGGTAAGTTACTAAAAATTTACTATCTCCTTCAAATATGTTCTCCAATCATATTATGTTAGGAGAATAGGTAATAGCATCCAGCCTCTACCTGACAGTCTTGTAGAAAATGATGGCTGGATTCCCAATGTGAACAACACCCATTTTCCTAAATTACAAAAACAACATTGCCTCAGTCCACTTGATCTTTGACCCCTACATATGGTTAAGATGATTACTGAAATCTTGTTTCCTACAAAATTTCACTGCTGAATCCATAGAAGCCGACAGGCAGTGTTATTTTAATTAGGTCTGGGTTGCTGCCACTGGACATACCAGATTCAAGGTTTATATCTGTGAAGCTAAATCTTTGGGATAAAACTCAAGGTTGACTGCATGCCAGTCAAGAGCTTCTACTATAACTCGAATCAGAATTTTACATTCAAACACGAGGCTCACATAGACCACTCTAATCCTATTGGCGGTAATCTTCATGCATCCTCAGAGTATGCCAGCCAGGAAGCAATAACTTATGATATGAGGCAATATCCTGTTTCCTGGCTTTCAATGGGAGAAAGAGGCATTTGTGTGTGCCATGGTTTGTCTGTTTCAAGTAGTGCTTCAGTGTGGAAACAGAATCTTGCACGACTGCTTTTTTCAACCTATCTAAGTAAATGAGCAAGAAAATGACTCTTTGATTACAGATGGTAACCTATTTTTGGCTATGAAGCCTGGCTGCACCAAGAGGACCACTGAACCATCTGATCGGAACTAAACAAAGCTTGGGTCGATTCAAAGGGCATGTTGCTCATGAATGCTGAAGTTAAAGATGTCAGGAAATATGTTTCATATGATAGTAACTTTAGCAAAGTGTCTGCAAAGGCTTGAATTAGTCACATTAGAACACAGGACAAATAATAAATTGGAAACGGTGAAGGATTTTGATCGACAAAGATAATGTTTGAATGTGTCACATGTTAAAGAGCAGTAGCCTTTTATAGTAATTGAAGCCAACTGTTTTTCCTTAAAGAGCCAAGGAATAAAGCCTGCCAGTTGATGGATTGCAGCACTCCAAGGGACAATGTTACTGATATGGCACCAGTCCCGGAGGACACGCCACATTCCCTCATAAGCTTTCAGAGAGGAGGGTCTTCTTGATCTTGAGATCCTTTCCACATTCAATGGCTGAAATTGGTTGTCTTGTCTCGCAAGGCTGTCTGAACAAGAGTCAAGTGTGAAAAATAAGAAAATTTGGGTTGGCTGGAATCTTCCTGGGCAGATCTGTTGCTATATCGAGTAGGTCGGTAACCCAGGACATTTCCCATCTGAGATGAGCTATCAGAATTATCTTGCAATTCCGACCCTATAACTTCTGGGATAGGGTTGCCATGACCGTGGCAGGGTAGGCAAATAAATGCCCACACCTCCTTTCAACTTATTGGCAGAGTGCCTAAGGCCCATGCTTCTGGGTCTGGAACTGGACAGATTGAGGCAGACAACTTCTTGTCTCCACCTTGTCACAAAAAGATCAATCATCAGACGCCTCCAGAGTGCACAGACCGATTGATGGAGATACCAACACGTGTGAAGGTCTCAAGTATCAGCCAGGACAGGACACTGCGTCAGCTAGGAATGTGTCTGATTTTTATCTTGATATAGAGATTGCAGCACCAATGTTGAAACTGCCAAATCAGAACACTCAGGTTGGGTGATTTGGTTGAGGAGATAGGCAACAACCACAGAGTTGTTGGACAAAATAAGGATTGTTTTGCCTGAGAGTCAATCCTTCCAGAAGTGAAAGGTGATGATGACAGCCTTAATTTTTAACATACTGATGTGTAGAGGATGGTCCCTGGCTCCCACTTGCTGCTGATGGTAGTAAAGTCGAGCAACAGGTGGGCACCCAACCATACATACTGTGATTTCTGCATGGGGCTTCTTCAGTGGGATCCCCATGGTCTGATGAAGGAATGAAATCTCAGGTGTGATCATGACTATTTGATCTAAGGGACTTGAAAAGGGCACCATTGTGTAAAGGCACATAAAAAGATGGCCAAGTGGGATAAAGTTTGCTGCTGCACTGAATAATCCGAGGAGTTGCAAGAACTCTCGTTGAAATCCATAGTCCTGCTGGACACAGACACAAAGAATTTGTTGATCCTGATGACACAAATAAAACAATGCAATGTCCGATTCAGGTTGGTGATAAACTCCATACCCAGATGAATAAAATGTTGGGATGGATGGAGGTTGGGCCATTCCAAGTTCACTAGAAATCCTGGATGATCTAAGAGTGAGACATCATTTCAGCTTTGGAGTAGAATAAAACTTAACATATACTTATGGAGGATGTTGTCTAGGCATGCTGCTGTCATTGTAGATAAAAGTCTATAAAAACTGGGTGACAACACAATCCATAACCCTGATAAAACCCCATGGACTGATGTGGAGGCCAAAGGGTATGACTTTGAAATGCTAAACCAACTCATTGTAAGCAAACTGGATAAATTCCTATGACATGGGGTGTATAGTTATGTGAAAGTATGTGTCAGTCACATTGAAAGTGCTCATCCCATTGAATGGAGAGATGGATTAATCTTGTTGTCATCTTGAATTTCAGTGGCAAAATGAACGGGTGGAGGTAACACAGGTCATTGACCAGCCTCAACTTGCTATTCACTTGTCTGAATAACCCTTCCCACAATTGAATCTTTGCACATTCTCTACCATGTTTTTCGATGAGTGACTGTATTTCCAGACGTAGAAAGGCATTCTCTCCTGATCTGACAGTACATCCGTGAAAATAGGAGAGGAGGAAAGGGGAGGGGGTAAAATAAATGAACTCCAAAAGCCCCTCCAAAATGAACTGAATCACCCAATCAGTCTGAGGGAATGCATTTAGTTTATATTTCTGCTGAAACAACACAAGAGAAAACAAAGCATAAATTAATAATTCAGGATGTTACTAAGGGAGTACCTGGTAATAAAAAATAATCAGTGTTGCATTTGATGCATCTAGACTATGCTTTTAACATAT